ATTCTTAATTCTATACCGATTTACTCAATAGAATATTGTGATTGTACAAGAATGTACAGTGTATGATATATACATATCCGGTATTTGTAACATAACACCGATTATGTAAATAGAGAAATAGCATCAGGGCAATATATTTTTTGTCATTTCTCATCGCTCTACAAAATTTTTACTTGATACACGAATTGAACGACAAAGTAAGTGGACATACGCATATAAAACTTCTAATAAAAAAGGTTTTTTTTAAAGTAAATTACACGACCCTCGTTTTGCACATACATACATTGCTCAATTCTTATCACGTTTTTCCGTTTCGTCGGAAAATAAATCTACCTACACACACAGGTAAGAAACGTTTCATACATTATAATTCCATTTGCAATCAGTATAAAAAACATATATTTTACATACACAATATATATATAGTTAAGAAAAAATGAAATATTTATCTTATATTATAAATTTACAACGTTTAATATCCCAATTAAGGATATATCCTGTTAGTAGTTTTTTTGCTTTCTAACTCTCCGTCTGTAAACGCGGCATCCGAACCAAAATTATATCTGCTTATAACTGTAAAACTTGCAAGCCTGTTAGAAAATATTAAATAAACGATGTTTATCAAAATGACTATAAAATCATCAACTACAATTGCTGCGTTCAGCGGAAAAGCAGCTCAGTGAACGCTCAGTGATTTTTTGACATGATTGGCCTTCTTCCCCGTTTCTAATTGTGGAAACCAATCATAATAAAAAATCATTGAGCGTTCACTGCAAATTGCTTTTTTCGCTGAACGCAGCCAATGTAGACAGATATTTTGTAAATTTTTTTAGATTCAAACATGACAGACCCATGTTTACGCTCCGAGGGTGCAAAAAAACGTTTACAAATGGAGGGTTAAGTTAGATTATAATTAATTGCAAAAAATCACTTTTCAGCGTCATCCACAATGTTAATCGTATTCGGTTCGGCATTTTCCGATTTATTGGATAAAGGTTCCGATGACTCAATCCCGGATGCCGCGCTAGGTGTAACTGTTGTGGTGGAGTCGATGTTCGAAGCAACCATATAAACTTGTAAAATAGTATTTCCAGGATTCTCTGTAGATTCTTTCGAGACGATTACCAAGGCTCCTGGCTCCATTTGATTAATGTTCGGTATTATTTTCATAATATTGTCGGAACAAGACGTTTCCGTGTTTCCACTATTCGTAACTGATGTATTTACATATTCTGTAACTTCGACAGCTACGTGTGACGGTATCATAGGCTTATCGTCTATTGACGTTTCATTCCCGGTATTACTGTTAGACGTACTAATATCAGGTGCTTGTAGTTTCCTTATTTTCTTCGTCAGTCTGCCGGATCTAGTCGGTCTGGGTTGATAAACTTCCTCAGAGCTGTCCGAATCAGCACCTGTGTCAGAACTGTAATCATCGAATTTCTCAGATTCATCATCCAAACGCTTCTTCGATTTCCGCGCTTTGCATCTTTTTTCCAAATGTTGCTGAGCAGTATTTATGTCGCTATTTATTTCTATATCAATTTCACCGTTTGTCGATTCTATGGTTGTATCTTCAGTTCCTTGATCGTTGGAGAGTTTCTCACACTCTCCGATACTTTTCGCTACTAATCCTGTAATCATTTAGTAGATTAATTTCCCATAAGTGTAATAATTCGTACAAAATATAATTCCTTAATATATCCATTCGTTAAGAAATACTCTATTACTATTGTATTAATATTGATCACATTATTATCATGAGATAAAATTACAGTATACTTACGATGCTTGCGTTTTCTGTCAGTTCTACTCAAGCATTGTCCGTTCTTAATTTTCTCCGGTGCTCTTTTAGGCGTGTCTTGAAAATTTTCTAGTTTTTGCAGCATTTCTAATGACAAAACATATTTTGTAATTTACTTGTTTAGAACGCCAAAAAATCAAAACTCAAAAAAAATACATATAGAAGATGTATTAGGATTAATCTACAAAAGTTTTTCAATATTTACATAGTTACAATTAAAATTTAATTGCTGTTGTGGTAAAATCAGAAACTTGCCATAGAGACTTTTAATAAAAATATCAAAACGTTTACAATTAAAATAAAAGATGCTTTGAATTTTAATGATGTAGCAAGAAACTATAAATTGTTATAACTACGTTAGTAGTGAAAATCTATATTCATATTTTATACGATCTATATTCATATATTTCTTACTTGAGAATAATCTCATAAACAATTTGTCAAAGTTTTTTATACTCATTGTTTTATATATTTTCCAACTACTATGTATAAAAGTAGAATTAAAAAAAATAAATAAATGAAACTTACCTAGTTGCTCTCCCAGCATATCGGTATCAAATTCTTGATGATATTTCAAAGCTTTTTCGATTAATTGTCGATTAACTCTCTCCTCCTTCTTATACTTCTGCTTAATTTCTTGTCTACTTCTATTCGGGAAGTGTGCTTGCATCAATAGAAAATCCGTACCTACTACATTTAAAACTCTGTAAAATTTAAATGTTTCCCATTTCGGCCACTCCTTGCTCCTCTTATGCTTCTTATAGAAACCACCGCCATGGGAATTTTCGTCCTCGATAGTAGCCTCGCTCGCTAATATTTCTTCATCCCTTTTCGCATCTGTTTGTTCTATCACGAGACTTTGTTCGTCTATTATCAATTCACCATCGGGACCCACTTTCACCTGCGGCGTGGGCATTGCCTTTGGTCTGGATGGATCATCCTCTTCTTCCTCTTCCACCGCCATGGGAATTTCCACCGGTCTGGAGAACAATCAGATTTTTACGATACAACAAAATTTTGATATTTTAATTTCACTACCTATTACACAATTCAATATACTCACTGTGGCGTAGTCACTTGTCTTCGTCCAACTGGCATTCTCTTCATGGGATTTGACACGGGATTATAGTATATCAAATCGTACATTTTCAATTGGCTTCTATCAGGTGCTCTATTTTCATGCTTCAGCAAAAACTCCCTTCTGGCTTCAGCCAGCTTTCTCGCAGATTCCGACACCAGCATACGTTTTTTCTGCGTCGTTTTAAATTTCGGAGGACTGTTTTGATTGTCATTGGTAGTACCTTCCTTATTGCTTTGTACGGAACAGATGGAATCATTTCGTACGCGACCCGGCACGACGGATTGCACTCGCTTGCTGTGTTCGTCCTCTGATTCACTCGCGCTCGCACCACTTCCCTGTATACTGTTCTTTCTTATTCTACCGCCACTGTCCAACCTTGGAGTAGGTCTCATGAAACATGGGCGAGTCTGTATCTTTGTAGGAGAGGCTGAAAAATATGTATATTAAAATACACATAATCTTAAAAGGTAATATTATAATATATTGATATTATAATATATTATATATAAATATATTGACACAGAAATCAAAATATAAAATATTTTTCTTCGTGTGTTCTTTTAAATTTCTTAATCTTCTCACATGACCCTTACCTATATCTGATACTACAGGCACATCTGGTAGCAGAGTACTTTTCTGAACCGATTGATCAGTAACTTTGTCCAGCTTGACTCCAGTACGCGGAGATTCTTGAGAACGTAGCGTTGCTTGAGCACGTAACTCTTGAGAGTCTGGTTTTCGTGGAGAACTCAATTCTTCAGAATCTGCTATTTCGACTGTAACTGACTCTCTTAAACTGACTTTGTTTTGTTCATTCTTCATAGGTTCCTCTTGGACTCTCACATCTTTGGCAGCTTCTTGCTCCGGTACATCAGTATTAAGTACATCTTCCTCTTTCTGTTTCTTTTGTTTCGGTATATCAGTGCTGAATACATCTTCTTCTTGTTCTTTTTGTTCAAATATATCAGTCGTAGCTACGTCTTCCTCTTTCTGTTCTTTTACCTTTGCAACGTCCTTAGTAGCATCTCGTTCTATTCTGATGTCAGATACGTTTTCTTCTTTCTTTTCCTTATCAGCCGCATTGTTAGCATCAATAGAATCTACCGAATCCTGCAGAGCCTTCTTCCGAAGTGGCACAGCAGCCAAAGCCTTAATACGTGCTCGACGCATATTATGTAAATATATATTACAGTGGAATCTCTGAAAATACCAATCAATCATAAAACGATCCAGCTTATCAGCACACTTAGCGAGTTATAAACAAAAAATATATATCGGTATGTATACAGAGTGCTAAAAAACTATGTAGACAAACTCAGTGAAGGGTAACATGATAAACAACCTTTTCCCAGGGGAGGTCAGAAATTTCTCCTTCATATTCTAAGGCATATTCTAAGGGGATGAAGGGATGATGAAGGATTGTACGTATAATATATAAGGATATGGTGTATTTTTGACATTGCCATCACCAATAAAACGTTTTGTAGATTATGTCTCTTCATTCTTGTACAAACTCACCACTCCACATCCTTCACCACCCCTTAGCATCAGAATCTAGAGGCATTTCTGACCATTATATACGTATAACTTTAAAATAATTAATTCGTAATTAAAAAATCGATAAATCACTGATCAATAAAAATTACTATGGGATCTGCTTTTCAACCAAATGTTTTGACTGCCATAACGCGTCACTAATGACTAGGGTATATTAACAGCTGTAATAATGTCTCTTCGTCTCGCGTGTATTAACGAGAGACGACGTAAATCTAGCGCAATCACCCGTAAAATTCGAGCCCGTAGTTCGCAAACAACGGTCCACTAGATCAAGAAAATCGCAAAAACGCGAAATGTCACGTGTTTTGAAGGTTACCCAGCTGCATCACTCACCGACGGGTTCGATCGTTCCGACGCGAAC